TCAATTTATTCACGCAAAAAAGTAAAAATTTTATTGTAAAATATATTTAGGAACTAATTCTTGTCATCACGAGGGTCGTCACTAAAATGTTACATTAAAAACTTAAAAAAATAAAACAAAATAAAATTATCAACAAAATTTTAAAAATGTCACTAAAGTGGTGTTTGATAAAATTGAAAACAGAAAATTAAGTATTGACAATTAGATGTCGAATTTTTTAAGTTGAAAAGTTGAGAGTAGATAAAATATGTTAACACTAATTAGAAAATCGGTCTCATGCAGAAGTTACGGGAATGTGCTTATGTACCTACAGTAACTTCATTCAATCAAAAAATTGAGATTTTGAGCCCAGCAGTTGTTGGAAATTTTTTAAATGACTTGCATCCCCAACATTGGGCCAACGCGTACTTCAGGTACCCGTTGTTCGTACATTACTTCACATGTAATACCCATTGCATATTATGAACATCAATATTTTTCCCCCTTTCCAAAAGGGCCATAGGTATAGTGAGATGTGGTCCAACGTTATAGAATCACTCAACAACTGGATCCATGAAGCTCGTCACCTGCCCATTACTCAATTGGTCGATGCGATAAGGGGAAAATCATGGAAAAAATGTCAAATCGTAAAGTTAAATCTAGTAGTTGGGTTGGCGCAATTTGTCTGAAAATGGAAAAAATTTTGTTGTCCAAGTTTAAAGATAGCAGGTCGTGGATTTTTAGTCAGTCGGACGACAACGTTTTCGAGGTGTGTTCCCACCCATCGGTGCTAGTCGACATTGGCATTCTCTCATGTTCCTACTTCCAGTGGAAACTAAATGGTTTCCCATGTTCCCACACAGTTATTACTTTTCGAAATAATGGTAGGAATGTGTACGATTACATTAAGTCATTTTATCACGTGGTGAAGTATAAGGCAGCGTATGCATGGTCCATCCACCCAATTCCCACAGTGGAAAAACCCAAGTTCACAGCCTCAGACTATCTCATTGCACCACCTATTTACAAGCGTCCTCCTGGGAGACCCAAGCGTAAAAGAATTCCATCAAATGGTGAGGTTGTTCAACATATTTGGTGTGGTTGTTGTGGCAAAATGGGTAACCATAACAAGGAAACATGGAAGGAACCAATGTAACTTACTCATTGCGTTATTTTTGTTCATCACAAACTATTACTGAATAGTTGGTAAACATTTTCTTTCTTTTGCTAAAATAATTGTCGCGCAATAGTACTTGTTCACAAAATGACATCGTTTGATTATTTATTAATGGAAGTTTATGAAATATTATATATTTATTACATTTTGGCTCAAATCATGAAATATGTGAACTGAATAAAAAAACCTTCCGGTTGCAATGAGTTTCGCTGGTTTTTTTACCGTATCACTTTGTCATTCGTCACGGCAAAAATCCAACATTAGTCTTGTTGCAGCCCATTCTTTGTGTGACACCTTCTTTTGTCTAGCAATATGTTGTATTGCATTGTTCAATAACAACAAACATTTGCTCAGCAGTGCAGTATTTAGTTCACCACCACAATGGCGGGGTTCTACAATGCATTCCCTTACCTATTATACAATGATTGGGAGTCATGCAAGCTTTGTATGCGAGATGCTATAAAATCATACAATTGCATTACCCAGTTTCATTTAAATGAAATTCCTTATGTTCACATTAACGCTTGGCCCCAAAATAATCTTACAATATTCACGGTGTGCACTTATCACAATCGTGTAACCTATGTACAAAAAAAAATAAAAACCCACTAACAGCATTATCCTCGCCAAAGATGTAATGAAATTATTAAATTACCCCATCACAATGTCAGCCACACCACCCACGAGGAACATAGTGAACTACAAACTGTACCAAGAGTAGAAGCAATCCTAACAAGTAACATATTATTCCAAACATTATGTAAAAATCCCGACCCATGATTAACGGATAATCTATGATTAAGTATGCCTAATGAGTAGTTAAGATGAAATCGTAAATTAATTGCATGTGTGTTGCATTATTTGAGTTTAAATCTATTCGTGGTAGAAATATCTATTTGTATTTCTGTTTTGTTCTACGAATTGAAGGCCTTATAGGCATCTGAATACGAAATTGACTTGATTTATGTGTTACATGGAATTTTTGAAATTTTATGGTAGGTTTAATTAAAATTCAATTCAGAGCGATTAAATTAGAATAATTATTGCCCGTTTGATTAACTTTAATTAATCACCACTAAGTAAGCCTATATAAGGCCCCTTAGGTGCTTCAACTCATTCCTTTTCTTCATTTTTGAGCCTACAAAAACAACAAACGTGAGAAAGAGAAAGAGAGACCAAGAGGGAGATCAAAGTCAAGAAGAAAAAGAGAGAAATGCTAAGGGTGATCAAGAATTGGAAGGAATTGGCGATAGTTGTTGAGCCTAGCTAGAATCTAAAGGGAATTATGGGCTTTAGGTAAGAAATCAACTCACACTCTATGAGTTTAAGTTACCTTATGCATTGTTCAAAGAGAATTGAGGCTAGATGGTAGAATTGACCATGATTTATGCATGCATGTGCATATCATAAAGTTTTGAGGTTATTTTTGCAAGAATCTTCACATGCATGACCTTCTCTTAGCTTTGGTTTCACAATTCAACATGGTTTTGTCGTGAACATCTCAATAGATCATGGTTTGTTTGGTTGAAGAGTATATCATCTCATGCATGTTATAGTTTGGAAAACTTCAAGTTTGATTTTAAGCAATTAACATGCTTTGGGCCTTGATTTCTGGAAACGATCTTTAATTCTCCATGATTTACAAGTTTACAAGTGTTTTCTCAAATTTTGGAGCCCAAAGGTTGCATTTCAAAGCTTTGAATTCGAGTTTTGAACTTAGGAGTGCAATCTGGAAATTCCAGAATTCTGCTCTCCGTTCGAACGACCGAACATGCACTCGAGCGACCACTCTGTATTTTGCACTCTCGCTCGAGCGACCAAAAGTTGACTCGAGCATAAATTGCATGCTCCTAGAAGTTGCCTTGTCATGCAGACCGCTCGAGTGACGTGAGTTGCGCTCAAGCGAAGACTTCGGTCACACTCTAGAACGACTGTCGAGCAGTCATCGAGCAAAGAATTCACACAACCAGTATTTTCGCAGAGTTTACAGACTGCTTAAGCGAAGGAAGTTACGCTCGAGCGACCACTCACATGTTTGGATGTCCGCTCGAGCAAAGAAAGTTGCGCTCGAGCGAGACCCCTGTTTCTAGCATATTTGCCTAAGTGTTTTCAAGTGCATTTCAGCATCCTCATTGCATCCTAGGCATTCTTAAGCCAAGATTAAGATATAATAATGAGGATAAGACTTAGAAACACACTAAGAATGAAACGTAGTGAGTTAAGTATATTCCAAGTGTGTGTTTTAATCTGTGTATCTGTTATGTTTGTGTAGGTCACGCGTCGTAAGCTATCTGATTTGTCTGTTTTGTCTATCTACTTTTAGAGCTATCTATGAGTAACAACTTTGTAAAGCTATGTTTCATTATTAGTATTTTCTAGCTGATATGGTACAATCTGTTTTCTGAAATGCTATTTTATGAATCATGAATGAATGTCCATTTTTCTAAAATGTATTTGTGGCATGCTTAGTTCACGTGGCCCTCGTTCGGGGGTAACAATACCGTGGCCAATATGCACGTGGCTCTTGGCCAGGGGTAACAATAATGAGGCCTATATGCATGTGGCCCTTGCCCGGGGGTAACAATATCGAGGCTTATGTTCACATGGCCCTCGCATGGGGTAACAATACCATGGCTACTTGTGCACAAGATGTGGACCTATGTGGTCGTCGATATAGACTATGCAAAATTGGTATGATATGATATGATAGCTAAATAGATGTGCCATATATAACTGCTATGATTTCTGGTTAAGTATGCGAATCTGAATTTGTATCTGATTTGAAATCTACTATGGGATATCATTCATTAAATTCTTTATTTTATTATATTTCACTGAGCTTTTGCTCACTATTTGTATTATGTATGTAAGTGACCAGGTGCGTGACTAGGCTCAGAGCTGACCGCCTAGATTTCTATTTTGTCGGCCACCCTTTGTACCTCCCGAGGAGGTTCTGAAAAGAATCGAATGGTCATGTTTTGTGAACGTTAAGAATTTGTTTTCTTTTTAGAATATGAACAAGTTTTCTGTTTATCTATATATTGGGCTAAGTCCCCTTCTGATTATATCTATAATGAATGTGACAGGAGACTACTGTAATTATGACGTCACATGTATGTAAATATAAAGTTTGAAATTTCTATCTCATGTATGTCTGCATAGCTCATTGGATATTGTATTTTTTATATTTGCTTCCACTAGCCCCTTAATCCTATGTAATTCGGTACAGAGGCCTTTGGTAATCCAAGGATTACTGGTCGGTTACAACACTAAACCTGTAGAGGGAGGTTTGGGTCGTGACATAGTGGTATTAGAGCACGTGTTATATGGCACACATGAGTCCATATGAGCTATAAAATGTCTTAGAAAAGATTAGAGACATTCCATCTGCATATGTGAGTGAGTATTTGTTTCTATAAACGTGAAAACTGAATCTTGACATGAATACATGGAATTGAAATGAATGAACCGGAACTAACTACTCTGAATGTTATGAAATGAACTTTTGCTAATGTTTATAAGTGCTCTGTTTACTTATAGTAAATGAAAAATACATGAAGTGATGATACAGTTGGATTTTTTGAGGCCCAAATGAGCCGAAAGGCTGAAACATGGCTACTAGAAATAGGAAAGATATTTGAGTTGTTTCTATGCTAAGAAATTCAAAAGTTCTTTTGGCCACCTATGCGTTGAAGGAAGAAGCTAGACGTTGGTGGATACTTATCCGAGATAATAGTGGGACTATGACGTGGAGCTAGTTTAAAGTGATCTTTTATGAGAAATATTTCCCTCAATGCTTCAGAGACCGTAAAGCGTCAAATTTCAAGAACTTAAGTAAGGCAAGATGTCCGTAGCCGAGTATGAGGCTAAGTTCACCGAGTTGGCTAGATTGGCTCCTCATATGGTCGACATAGATTACAAAAAGGCTCGAAAATTTGAAGGGGGATTAGATCTGGACGTCTTTCATCGAGTAGGCGTTCTAAAGTTGCCTATATATGTGGAAGTACTTGATAGAGCATTGATGGCAGAGGCCATTTTGGCAACAAAGAAACAAGCTCCAGCTCTAACAACTAAATGGAAGGGTAAAAGATCCGGATTTAATTTCAAGAAAGGTCGGTCATTTCCAAAAGGGCAAAATACAGGATCCTCCAGTAGCTCTAGTCAGAATAGTGGATCTATTCCAAACTATCCCGATTGCGGAAGAAAGAATAAAGGCACATGTTACTGTGCCTCAAGTGCTTGTTTTCGGTGTGGCAAGACTAACCATATGGTTAGAGATTGTCCGCTGAGATCTAACGATGTTAATTATCCTATAGCAAGTTTGGCCGAGTCTACTTCTGTAGCGAAAACAAATGCAAGAGCTAATACTAGGGGAAACATAGGAAATGAGATACTAAGACAGGGGAGAGTATTCGCACTAGTACTCGGGGATGTACAGAACACCAAGTCTGTGGTGTCAGGTATAATTTCCATCTATAACCAAAATGCATATGTCTTGATAGATTCTAGCTCTACACACTCATTTGTGTCGCATGCCTTTTCTCGAAAATTGACTAGACCTTTAGAACCTATGAATTACTTACTATCTGTATCTACACCATCTAGGGGTTCTATGGTATGTACTTATGTTTTTCCGGCATGTGAAATAGTAATAGGTCATGTGACACTGTATGTTGATTTATTGCCATTGGGTATTTATTATTTTGATTGCATACTGGGTATGGATTGGTTGACGAAGTATTATGCTACTATTGATTGTGTGAATAAATCTGTTGTGTTTTGACCCCTGGGGTTACCTAAATTTTTGTTTGCTGGGAATGGGGTAGTTCATCTACCGTATCTGATCTCTGCCATGAAAGCCAATAAATTGTTGCGAAAAGGGTGTCGAGGTTACCTATGTTGTGTTTTGGTTATGAATGCTAATAATGCTAATGTTGAGAACATCCCTGTAGTTAACGAGTTTCCTGATGTATTCCTAACTGATTTGCCCAGAGATTTAATTGATAAGGAAATTGAGTTTACTATTGATGTTGTACCTGGAACATAACCGATTTCTAAGACCCCTTACCGAATGTCAACCTCTGAATTGAAAGAATTAAAAGTTCAACTCCAAGAATTGCTAGACAAGAAATTTATCCAACCGAGCACTTCACCTTGGGGTGCTCCAATGTTGTTTGTTAAAAAGAAAGATGGGTCCTTGAGGTTATGTATAGATTACCAGGAATTGAATCGAGTGACTGTCTGTATACTCGACTTTCTTCGCGCCCCCCTTCGAAGAGCTCGAATTGGTCCTACAAGTCGGACTCTTGTCACGGTTCTGAATCTAATCTCACAAAGTGCAATGCAAGACTGATAAACACCAAAGAGTCCAATCCGGTAAATCATTTTGGAAAATCGATTTTGAATCAAATAATGCCAAAACTAGACTGCTTTGCTAGATTTTAGAGTCGCCACCTAAATATTTTGTTTTTGGAAAATTTAGGAAACTCTAACTCGTGCCAAAGGCCACATGTCCGTCATCACCAAAGTTGCCTCAGCTCGGGAACTTGGGTACGAGAGGGGAAGGTCCTGAAATGAGCACCCCCGCTGGCCCGATCAAAGATCAGCCTCTACTATCATGATATGTTGTTTTATAAACCTCATGTGTTCTTATCCGGTTATTAACTAACTTTACTACGTGACGCGCACAAGCAAGTATAGACTAAGTCGCAAGACTTGGAACAATTCAACTCATGTTTGCTTTCGAAAATGGTTTGAATTTGCCACCCTCAAGTGGGCTAAAATGCGGATTTGCCATCAAACATGATTTGCCACTTCGCAAAGTAGGCTTAAAACTCACACTCGTTGAATTGTCCCAATTCAAGTAACGAAGCCTTCATCTATAGGCATTCATGCAGTTTATCATTTAAGCAAATAGCCTCATGGCAAGCATGCGATCATGGCAACACTCACAGTCATGCAAGTATGCTAAAGCATAAAACTTACAGTGTACTCCAAGCCAAAACAAAAGCTAGTTAGAAACAATGCATGATCCTAACTATGTTAAGATGCCTAATGCAACACATGCAACACAAAATTAATAGGCTCGGTTAGTAAGATAGCATATGAATGCAACAATTTGATAACATGCTTTGAAACACGGATTCAAATAAGTATTGAAATTGCAATGTAGTTTGAATGATGCATCGAGCCTTGGTGCATGCAAGACAAATGAATGATGCAAACATGCAAGCATAAGGCATGCTAAGGGAAAAAGACGTGGGGTTGGAAGACATGCATACATGCACACACACTTATTACAACATTACGCCCTCGCGAAAGAGGGTCTGAATGAATAAGCTAACTAACTAGCTATTCTAATTATTACAAAATGAACTAATTAACTATTCTAGTTAACTAATTACAACAATACAATAGAATAACTAGCTATGCTAGCTAATAAAAATACAACATTTGAATTGAATAATTAGCTACGCTAACTAACTAGTAAAGCAATTTAAACGGCCTCAAGGGACGAGGAATGCATGCATGCTTGGTTGCTCCACCCGAAAATGCCCTTGCCTTGCCATCGAATGCCTCTGTTTGCAATCGTTTGATCTCTAAAAACTGTACCAACTTCCAGATTGCCTCTGCTCCAACACAGGAACACACTTGCACAAAAATTCACTGGTGACCGATCGGCCACCTCAACTGGCCGGTCGGCTACTTCAAGTGGCCGGTCGGCCACCCCCTTTTCTGGACTTCTACTTTTGCTGCCATAGAGAGCAAATAGAGGCAAAGCAATGCATTTTCAAGAAATGTGTGTGTAGACGTGCCCGAACGTCCCGGCTCTGGGCGCGATGGCACGAAATCCATTTTGTTCTTAGCTACTACAGTTCGGACTCAATGTCACGATTCTGAATCTAATCTCGCAAAGTGCAATGCAAGACGATAAATCACCAAAGAGTCCAAATCCAGCAAATCGTTTTGGAAAACTGATTTTTATAAAGAAGTGCCAAACATGGACTGCTTTGCCAGATACAGAGTCGCCACCTAAATGTTTTTGTTTTGGAAAATTTAGGAAACCCTGACTCATGCCTAAGGCCACGTGTCCGTCATCACCAAAGTTGTCTCGGCTCGAGAACCTGGGTACGAGAGGAGAAGGTCATGCAATGAGCACCCCCACTCGTCGATTCAAAGATCGGCCTTTACTAACATGATATGTTGTTTTGAAAACACATGTGTTCTTATTCCGGTTTATTAGCTAGCTTTACTATGTGATGCGCACAGCATACAAGTATAGACTAGATCGCCTAAGTTGGAACAAAACATCTCGTGTTTGTTTGCTTGAAAATGGTTTGAAGGTGCTACTCGCAAGTAGGCTAAGATGTGGATTTTGCCACCCTCAAGTGGGCTTAGAAAACATGATTTTGCCACCTCAAGTGGGCTTCAAACTCGCATTTCGATGAATTGTTCCAATTCAAGCAATCCAACCTTCATCCACAGGCATTCATGCAATTAAACACTTAAGCAGCTAGCCTCATGGCAAGCATGCTATCATGGCAACACTCACACTCATGGAAGATGCTAAAGCATGAACACTTACAGTGTACTCCGAGCCAAAACAATCAACTAGTTAGAAATCATGCATGATCCTAGTTTATGTTAAGATGCCTAATACAACACATGCAAAATGTAACTAAATAGGCTCGGCTATTCTAAGATGGCATATGAGATGCAACTTGATAACATGCTATTGAACACGTATTCAAGTAAATGTATTGAAATACAATGCGGTTAGTATGATGCGCCGAGCCCGGTGCATGCAATATGAATGCATGTATGCAAACATGCTAGCATAAGTATGCTAATTGAAACATGCCCTAAAACTAACCATTGAAAGCGGTTAAGTAAAAGGGAGAAAGACGTGGGGTTGGAAGACATTCATGCACTCATGCACACTTATTACAAAAGTTGGCCCTCTCGACGGAGGGTCCTAATAAATAATACAAACCAACTAATTAACTAACTACCCTAGCTAATTAATTATTACAAAACTCTTAACTAATTAAACAAATCAATTAAGTTACAAAACCAACTAAGTATGAAACTAAATAGGCTGCTACAGCTCTGCCTCAGAATGATGAATGATGCATGCTCAGTCGCGTCCTCCTGGAAATCTGTTACCATGCCTCATGTTGCCTCTGTTTGCACTATTTTAGACTTCTGAAAATTGTGCCAATCTCCAAAACACTTCTGATCCACCTCATGGACATGCTAAGAGGTCATCGGCCAAGAGGCATGGCCATCGACCAAAGGATAAAGGTCATTGACCAATTTTGAGGCTATCGGCCAAATATTTACAGCCGATCGGCACACTAGATAGCCGATCGGCCATCTCTTCCTACAAACTCTCCTTTTTACTGCAACAAAACAGAAACAGAGGCATGGCAATGTATTTGCAAGAAAATGTGTGTGCAACTACACCCCTTATCATGTCTAAGGCTCAAAGGTATGTAGTGCTCGGCTCTCAAGCCATCAATCACGCATTTCGATGCATGATGGCCAAAAGAGGCCGAGTTGCACAATTCAATGTGCATGAAATGCACAAAAACACATAAATGCCTTAAACTCTATCATATTTGCTCAAGAGTGTCAGCGACCGAGAATTGAGGCACGTGTCATCACTTCAAGTATGAAACGTCCCTCGTTTCTCGTGTTTGGCTTAACACCCAAACCAAACACAATACAATGCATGCACAACTTAACAAAGCTAATGGCATGCAAACAATGTAATGCAACATGAGCATGCAAGCATCATGCAATGTAACTCAAGCATGCAACAACAATACAATGGAACAAGCATTCAACAACATGCTATATATCAAGCATGCAACAATATGATATCTAATCAACATGCATCAACATGCAAATAATAATGTCATGCAATGCAATTAGCGTGCAACAATATGCAACGTACCAAGCATGCAACAACACGCAATGTACCAAGCAATGCAATAAACATGCAACAACATGCAAAAATGGACTGAAACTAAAATAGACAGACCTCAATCATGCCCAAATCAGTGGCCAAAATGTTGAAATAAAGGTATGAAATGCAAGACAAGCATGCATGCCAAATGGCTCAAGGATTAAGGCATAGGAGGATAACTCTCAAGAGCACTTAAAGAGTGAGAAGCATGGACATGTGACAACATTACATACTCTGAAATGGTGTATAAAATGGTGCCAAACCACTCAAGCAACACAAGTATGGCATGCTAGGAGGCTCAAAGCTTGAAGCTAGCAAAAGGGAATTACACCATAGCTATACAAAACATGAAGCATGTGACAAGTACAACCCAAAATAGTCCTAGATCATGCCAAAATGAGTCTAAAACATGCATGGAGCAAAGCCAAAACAAGCCAACATGAAGGGCATAAGGCATGATGCATGTAAGGCCAATAAGGGTGGTTACACTACACCTACCAAGACCAATCATGAGATGACTCTATCCACAAAGCTAACAAGCTAGATTGAACCATGGCTATACAAAGCAATGCATGCATGATCAAAAAAACACAAATCAGAGCTTAAGCATGGTAAAACAAGGCTAAAAGCTTCTTGGATTTGAGCCAAAACATACAAGAATGATGGTCCAAACACATGATGCATGTTATGCTAGCATGCAAGATTGCACTACAAGTATGTGAAGCATGCAAGATACTATCAAACCAACCTAAAACAGAGTTGAGGCATGCTATAATAACACCAAAAACTTGCTGAAATGGAATCAAAACATGCTAGACAAACATACTACTTTGATGAGACATCTATACAAGCAAACAAGACACAAGGAGAGGGGATGACCCTCTCCTATTTGGGACCTCAAAACCACCTTTCCACCACTAAAAATCCTCTGGATTTCAGTGGCGAGAAGGTCAAAACAAGGTGGCCCCAATAGCTTAAAAGGAAGGCACAAAGCAAGGCCAAACAAGGCCTAAAAGGGGGGTAGACTACCCCCAACACAAAAGTGACCTTAAATAAACATTACAAGCATGCAAAAT